ATCATCATGATCATCATCATGATCATGAACATGATCATCATCATCATCATCATCCTCATCATCAGCATCTCCGGCATGATTACCAGCATCCTCATTGCCACCAAGCATAGACGCGAATAAAGTCGAACCCTCGAATCACTGCCGTCGTCATAGCAAAGATTCGCCGCCCTCACGCGGACAGAAATCGTCACAAGCACGTACATAGACGAGGAAGCGTGCATCTGAATACCTACGAGAGTACTTGTTGCCCACTCGAACCCAAAGCCTTCAACACTAAAGCTTGACCCTAAACCCTCAACCCTAAAACCCGGAAGCCCTAAACCCTAAAACCCTAAACCCTAAACCCTAAATTTAAAGCCCTAAACCGCACAACCCTAAACTCCAATCGCACATCCCTAAACTCTAAGCAAGACAGGCCGTCTGCCTTGCAATCGAGATGAGCCTGGCCCTTACTCACCGGACCTTTGGGGCTCAGGGTTTAGGCAGAAGTTCGGGGTTTTATGTCGGGGCTTAAATAATTACCACTACTATTTTGGGGGTTCCTTATTATAATTATAGTAGAATGGGCCCGCAAACCGCTATTCTAATCGTGAAGGCCGCTATATTAGGGTGTTTAGAGATTTCGGATGTGTAGGGCGGTGTATTTCGGGTAAGTAGGGTAGGCTAAGGTTTGTGTAGGCTGTGTGCGGTTGGGGCTTAGGGGTTTAGGTTTGGGGTTTGGGGTTTTGGCTTTATGGTTTTGGGGCTGAGGGGTTTAAGTTTCCGGGCTGGCGTGTGTGAGCCTTGGGTGTTTTTGAGGTTCAGGGGCTCAGGGTATTTAGGTTGAGAATGAACCCCCACACCCTAAACCCTAAACCCCTATATACCCTGAACCATCACGCTAAACCTTCTTGCAACCAAAAAACTCTGGAGCACTTGAGACTCGGAAGTCAGAGTTGGAGGGCTTCTGCAGTTTATCGGTTTAGGGTTTAAGGGTTTAGGGCTTATAAGGTTTAAGGTTGAGGGTTTAAACTTTGAGGGTTTAAACTTTGGGGGTGAGGATGTATGCCTTCTTCCCAGATCTCCGGGTATGCAATCTCAAAGCTTCCAGCCTGAGCCCTGTTCCTTCCACGGATATGGCGGCCTGGGTAAGCATTACCAAAGTTGCTCTTTGAAGAGGCCGTCTGATTGAAACATATTGAAAACTATGCGAGACCAGACTCCAGGACAAGAGTTTAAGTGCTAAAGCCACTGTATGGCAGCGGCCTGACGAGTGAGCGTGTAGATTTGGCTGAACCACTTGCAGCGGCGGTGTGATCTCTGCTGCGCCTGTTGAAGCATCGAGAGATTTTGTTTGTACTTCAAGGACCAGGGGACATAATCCAAACCCCTGATTCGGGGTTGCTCTTCGAGGCTGTCCCTGAATCTTAACCCCTAAACCCTAAGCCCTAGACTCTAAAACCCTCAACCCTAAACCCTAAACCCTAAACCCCAAAACCCTAAAACCCTTAACCCTAAACCCTAAACCCCTCAATAAGCCTCGAAGGGAGGCAGCCATAGGAAGTGGGCAGCTGCTGGAGCAGCGCCTCCTCTGCTTGCTCCTGCTGTGAGCTTTGGCGTCAAAGCTCTTGCCGATTAATATAGGGGCCTTGATAACTTAGGGTTTAGGGTTTGGGGTTTAGTGTTTAGGGTTTTGGGTTTAGGGTTTAGGGTTTACTTCTGTATTATAACTATAGTATAATGGGACCCAATACCGTATTCTAGTTATTAAGGCCCCTATATTACCTCAATGAGCTCTCGTTGATCCACGGGGCTCAGCTGGACCCCACATCTGCGCACTCGAGATTTCTGATGGTCACCATGTCAGAAGCATCAAGGATGCGTAGTTCTCTAAAATAGGGTCCCTTTTCGGGTCCTTTCTATAAGGGTGCCGTACTATATTGGGGACCTACAATCCCTAAACCCTAAACCCTAAACCCTAAACCCTAAACCCTAAACCCTAAACCCTAAACCGTTACAAGGGGACCCTAGTTCAGAGAACTTATTCGCATGTGTCTGGCCTACCGGGTGCCGCCCTCAGGGGCCGAGGCTGGGAGGAGCTTTGGTGCAACAGCCAAATGAGGCGATGGTGAGCGTAAAGGAGTTTGTCGATGAGTTCACCGATTTAGGGTTTAGGGTTCAGGGTTTGGGATTTAGGGTTTAGGGTTTAGGGTTTAGGGTTTAGGGTTTAGGGTTTAGGGTTTAGGGTTTAGCAGAGAGTTGAAGAAGCGGCATGATGAGATCGACTGGCGAGGAAAGCTGTTTTCTCGGGAACATTAGTGTACTTGGAGGACCACGGCGATCAAATGCAGGACTCTGATTTCTCCTTGTCGTATCCCCGGGGAAATCACTCAAGTTGGTTCATTCGTGGGGATCGATCTTACCCTAGACCCTAGACCCTCAAACCCTAAACCCTCAAACCCTAAACCCTAAACCCTCAAACCGTATAACAACTCGAACTCGTCGTCTTCCTCTTTCCCAGATGATGTGCCAGCGGCGGAGGACTTCTTCCGCCAGGTGCGCACCTGAGGTTGGTTTCAGAGGGTTTAGGGTTTAGGGTTTAGGGTTGTTCAAGAGGTCCCGGCTTGGGTGGGCTCGTCTTGTTCAGGATCAGTGGTCAGTAAGTCCCGAAAGCAACCTTGGACCTGATGTCCTTTGCCGGAACCCCTAACAACCCCAAACCCTAAACCCTAACCCTTAAACCCTAAACCCTAAACCCTAGACCCTAAAACACCGACCCAAGACACCCTAGGACCCCCCCCATCTATGAGCTTTAGAGCGCGCTGGAGAAACCTTCACCTTGAAAGCCCTAAGCCACTGAAGCCCGGGAAAGGCTCAAGCCCGTAGCCAACCGTAGAAGGGTTTAGGGTTTAGGGTCTAGGGGTTTAGGGTTTAGGGTTTAGGGGTTCTGGGTTTAGGGTTTAGGGTCTTAAATCGAACCCCCAAAACCTCCTTGAGGAACCCAAACAGACTCTTGTGGGACCCTTATCTATAGGACACTGACAGAACCCTCTAAAGAACCGTATGGAAGCCGACAGGACCAACCCTTCAATAAACTCTGCTACAGAACTCTTAAACCTAAACCTTAGACCCTAAACCCCAAACCCTAAACCCCAAACCCTAAACCCCTAAACCCTAAAACCCTAAACCCCAAACCCTAAACCCTAAACTCTAAAACTCCTAAACTCCTAAACCCTAAACCCTAAACCCCTAAACCCTAAACTCCTAAACTCCTAAGCCCCAAACCCCTAAACCCTAAACCCTAAACTCCTAAACCTTTAAAGAGCCCTCAGTTTGTAGGGCCCTTACAGAACTCTTAAACTTAAACCTTAAACCCTAAACCCTAAACTCTTAAACTCTTAAACTCTTAAACTCTTAAACCTTAAACCCTAAACCC